ACTACAGCCAAACCTGTCTTAGAGACCACCTGTCTGTAACTACACACAAACCTATTTTAGAGACCACCTGTTTAAAACTACAGTCAAACCTGTTTTACAGACCCTCTGTATATAACTACAGTCAAATCTGTCTTAGAGACCATCTATCTAAACCTACAGTCAAACCTGTCTTAGAGACCATTCGTATATAACTACAGACGAACTTGTCTTACAGACCATCAGTATATAACTACAGCCAAACCTGTCTAAGAGACCACCCATATATAACTTCAGTCAAACCTGTCTTACAGACCACCTGTATATAACTACAGTCAACCCTGTCTTACAGACCACCTGTCTAAAACTACAGTCAAACCTGTCTTACAGACCATCAGTATATAGCTACAGCCAAACCTGTCTTACAGACCACCCGTATATAACTACAGACAAACCTGTCTAAGAGACCATCTGTCTATAACTACAGTCACACCTTTCTTTGTGATCACCTGTCTATATCTACAGACAAACCTGTCTTAGAGACCACCTGTCTATAACTACAATCAAACCTGCCTTAGAAACCACCTGTCTGTAACTACAGACATACCTGTTTTAGAGACCACCTGTCTATAACTACAGACAAACCTGTTCTAGAGACCACCTGTCTATAACTACAGTCAAACCATTCTTTGTGATCACCTGTCTATAACTACAGTCAAACCTGTCTTACAGACCACCTGTCTTTAACTACAGTCAAACCTGTCTTAGAGACCATCTATCTATACATACAGTCAAACCTGTCTTAGAGACCACCTGTCTGTAACTACAGTCAAACCTGTCTTAGAGACCATCTGTCTATAACTACAGTCAAACCTGCCTTAGAAACCACCTGTCTCTAACTACAGACAAACCTGTTTTAGAGACCACCTGTCTATAACTACAGACAAACCTGTTCTAGAGACCACCTGTCTATAACTACAGTCAATCCTGTCTTACAGACCACCTGTCTGTAACTACAGACAAACCTGTTCTAGAGACCACCTGTCTATAACTACAGTCAAACCTGTCTTACAGACCACCTGTCTGTAACTACAGACAAACCTGTTTTAGAGACCATCTATCTATAACTACAGCCAAACCTGTCTTACAGACCACCTGTCTGTAACTACAGACAAACCTGTTCTAGAGACCACCTGTCTATAACTACAGTCAAACCTGACTTAGAGACCACCTGTCTATAACTACAGTCAAACCATTCTTTGTGATCACCTGTCTATAACTACAGTCAAACCTGTCTTAGAGACCACCTGTCTTTAACTACAGTCAAACCTGTCTTAGAGACCACCTGTCTATAACTACAGTCAAACCTGTCTTTGTGATCACACCTGTCTATAACTACAGTCAAACCTGTCTTACAGACCACCTGTCTTTAACTACAGTCAAACCTGTCTTAGAGACCACCTGTCTATAACTACAATCAAACCTGCCTTAGAAACCACCTGTCTGTAACTACAGACAACCCTGTTTTAGAGACCACCTGTCTATAACTACAGACAAACCTGTCTTAGAGACCACCTGTCTATAACTACAGTCAAACCTGACTTAGAGACCACCTGTCTGTAACTACAGTCAAACCTGTCTTAGAGACCATCTATCTATACATACAGTCAAACCTGTCTTAGAGACCACCTGTCTATAACTACAGCCAAACCTGTTTTAGAGACCATCTATCTATAACTACAGTCAAACCTGTCTTACAGACCACCTGTCTGTAACTACAGACAAACCTGTTCTAGAGACCACCTGTCTATAACTACAGTCAAACCTGACTTAGAGACCACCTGTCTATAACTACAGTCAAACCATTCTTTGTGATCACCTGTCTATAACTACAGTCAAACCTGTCTTAGAGACCACCTGTCTTTAACTACAGTCAAACCTGTCTTAGAGACCACCTGTCTATAACTACAGTCAAACCTGCCTTAGAAACCACCTGTCTGTAACTACAGACAAACCTGTTTTAGAGACCACCTGTCTATAACTACAGACAAACCTGTCTTAGAGACCACCTGTCTGTAACTACAGTCAAACCTGTCTTAGAGACCATCTATCTATACATACAGTCAAACCTGTCTTAGAGACCACCTGTCTATAACTACAGTCAAACCTGTCTTAGAGACAATCTATCTATACATACAGTCAAACCTGTCTTAGAGACCACCTGTCTATAACTACAGTCAAACCTTTCTTTGTGATCACCTGTCTATTACTACAGTCAAACCTGTCTTAGAGACCACCTGTTTTAACTACAGTCAAACCTGTCTTAGAGACCACCTGTCTATAACTACAGTCAAACCTGCCTTAGAAACCACCTGTCTATAACTACAGTCAAACCTTTCTTTGTGGTCACCTGTCTATAACTACAGTCAAACCTGTCTTAGAGACCACCTGTCTATAATTACAGACAAACCTGTTCTAGAGACCACATGTCTTTAACTACAGTCAAACCTGTCTTAGAGACCAACTGTCTATAACTACAGTCAAACCTGCCTTAGAAACCACCTGTCTGTAACTACAGTCAAACCTGTTTTAGAGACCATTCGTATATAACTACAGCAAAACCTACCTTAGAAACCACCTGTCTATAATTACAGACAAACCTGTTCTAGAGACCACATGTCTTTAACTACAGTCAAACCTGTCTAGAGATCACCTGTCTATAACTACAGTCAAACCTGCCTTAGAAACCACCTGTCTGTAACTACAGACAAACCTGTTTTAGAGACCATTCGTATATAACTACAGCCAAACCTGTCTTAGAGACCACCTGTCTATAACTACAGTCAAACCTGTCTTAGAGACCACCTGTCTATAACTACACACAAACCTGTCTTATAGACCACCTGTCTATAACTACAGCCAAACCTGTCTTAAAGACCACCTGTCTATAACTAATGTCAAACCTATCTTACAGACCACCTGTCTATAACTACATTCAAACCAGTCTTACAGACCACCTGTCTATAACTACAGTCAAACCTGTCTTAAAGACCACCTGTCTATAACTACAGACAAACCTGTTCTAGAGACCACCTGTCTGTAACTACAGTCAAACCTTTCTTTGTGATCACCTGTCTATAACTACAGACAAACCTGTTCTAGAGACCACCTGTCTATAACTACAGACAAACCTGTTCTAGAGACCTTGCTCTACAGACCAATCTTTCTCAAAGTACAACATTTCTAGATCTAACAGCTAAATTGTTCCTCAAACACTTTTTTCTTAGTTTTAGTAATCTGGCTGCAATTCAAAATATTTGAATTATTTTGTTTTTTTTGGGATATGTTTGTATAGGGATTGTATTGTATGTTGTAAGTGAATCAGTTTTTGAAATAAGTTAGATGCTATACTGACCATGCTTTGACCGATGGCACCCTTAAGGCTGTCAGGATAGCATTATCTGGGTGTCTGTATAGATTGCTGTTGTACTGGACATCACGTATCCCCCAACAATGATGCCCGTACATATTGTCTCCTAGCCCAGGCCACATAAGCTGACTATTCAGTGTGGCAGATTGTCCATCACCTGACGATTTTTGCCACATCAAGCCACCAATCTGGAGATAGCCACTGACAGGGATCAGATTACTAGTGATCACAGACTTCCTGTATTTTCATTGCCAAATTCCTGAATTTATTGGAACTATCCTCCGACCTGATTTTGGTCCACAAGACAATTAAATAACATGTCGCTACCAACATGATTAGGACGGTATTGAGTGTCTGTATCGAGGACCAACGCTTTCAGCCTACGTCAAGTTGACAATGCAGGTTTCCCATAGAGCATCATTTCATCAACATAAACCAGAAATTTATCATGCCTTTCACTGCTCCAGGAAATCTATGTAGCCAGGTCATTATTCTTAATTGATTTGGTACAATTTGTTCAAAGTTTCAGCGGTGATGACATGCAAAAATTCCATTAATCTAGAAACATTGCAGTTGAATTTGGAACAGTGTTTTATTGGCGAGCTGTTCCTGAATTACATGATGCATGATTTGGCTTGGGAAAACTGACACAGGATGATATATGTTTTAGGAGGAGACGTTCTGACAGTCCCTCACAGATAACAATGGAATCTGCGGGAAATGGGAAAATGTTTCTTCATGTGTACCTAATGTTCATTAACAGCTGTTTTGTTCAACTGGTAGACAAGTTGGCTATTTTTTTCAGTTTTGGTTTCAAGGATGCCAAAATTTATAGATCAAGGTCATGACCCTTCCTGTGAAGGTCACAGTTACTTACATGTAAATGTAAATAAAAGGTCATAGAGAAATCTGTTCATTTCAAGGTCATGTGTACTCATAGACTCAAGGTCACAGGTGCAAGGAAGGTCAAGGTTATATGGAATCATTTTACTGATATACTGGTACCATAATAGTAATTGTTATGATACATACAAGGTAAAGGTCATAACATTTTTGCTTTTTTTGTTTGTTTCTTTTTGAACTAGATACAAAAATAAATGATAGTACATGACTGTATTTCACTGAAAAGTGTCATTTAGCAGGTATGATAGGTATAGGTACAAATCATCGAGTCACTGCTGTGTTAAAATGATGTTCTTACCCAGACAGTTTCGCTGACATTCTGCCAGCTTGTTCACTGGTGACGTAGGTGATATGGGCGTCACTTCCTCTTGGTCACCAGTAACGTCACAAGTGACCAAGCTGGCAAGGATGTCAACAAAACTGTCTGGGTAAGAACATCATTTTAACACAGCAGTGACTTGATGAAATTTGCATACTTTTCAACGTTACAGGTACGGATGCACTGAAGGTCATAGTTAAAAGTCAAAAAATGCATTCTTTGCTGTCATATAAGTTTCACAATTTGTAGCTGTGTGTCCAATCATGAAACAATTTCATTTAAACAGTTTGTCAATGTACTCATAAATTTTTGTGGTAGCAAATTCTGTATACCTGTAGAGAACATTCATCTGCAGAATGGTTTTGCTTCCAGGTGGAGTATCTGATGAATTTACCAAAAAGATAGAACAGTGGGAGGAAAAGAAAAGTCAACAGTCTTCTGTCAAAGGTAGGTAAATCAAGTAATACTCACAAATACTGCCAACAGATTCTGCCAACAAATACAACCCACCAATACTACAAACAAACAGTACAACAAATCCAACCCACCAATACTACAAACAAACAGTCCAACAAATCCACCCACCAATACTTCAATCAAACAGTCCAACAAATACAACCCACAAATACTACAAACAAACAGTCCAACAAATACAACCACCAATACTACAACCAAACAGTCCAACAAATACAACCCACCAATACTACAAACAAACAGCCCAACAAATATAACCCACCAATACTACAAACAAACAGTCCAACAAAAACAACCACCAATACTACAAACAAACAGTCCAACAAATCCACCCACCAATACTTCAATCAAACAGTCCAACAAATACAACCCACAAATACTACAAACAAACAGTCCAACAAATACAACCACCAATACTTCAAACAAACAGTCCAACAAATACAACCCACAAATACTACAAACAAACAGTGCAACAAATACAACCACCAATACTACAAACAAACAGTACAACAAATACAACCCACCAATACTACAAACAAACAGTCCAACAAAAACAACCACCAATACTACAAACAAACAGTCCAACAAATCCACCCACCAATACTTCAATCAAACAGTCCAACAAATACAACCCACAAATACTACAAACAAACAGTCCAACAAATACAACCAACAATACTACAAACAAACAGTCCAACAAATACAACCACCAATACTACAAACAAACAGTACAACAAATACATCCCACCAATACTACAAACAAACAGTCCAACAAAAACAACCACCAATACTACAAACAAACAGTCCAACAAATCCACCCACCAATACTTCAATCAAACAGTCCAACAAATACAACCCACAAATACTACAAACAAACAGTGCAACAAATACAACCACCAATACTACAAACAAACAGTACAACAAATACAACCCACCAATCCTACAAACAAACAGTCCAACAAATACAACCCACCAATACTACAAACAAACAGTCCAACAAATACAAACCACAAAAGCTATAAATTCACAAGCATTGTAGTGCACCAACAAATACATAGTAAAAGATATCATGGACAAATCAGATAGATGTTCTAAACTATTTGTATTCTTAATGATATTTCCCTATGACTCCAGGGACTCTGTTTAGATAGGGGAATGCATAGAAAAAAAAGATTATGTGGACAAAACCAGATAGCTATTCAGAATGATATTATCATATAGAAGGGACTCCCTGCCTTTTATTTAGATATAGAAGATACATACTGGCTGTCTTTATTATCACACACATACAACATAAAAAGAAATATCTGGAATTTTTGTGTTTCTTGTTAATTAGAATAATATGCGGAGAAAATATAAGTGTACAGTGAGGGTAAGTAAACAGTTGGAGGGGGTGGGGGAGAAGGAGGGGANNNGGGGAGGGGGAATGGGAGGGGGTAGAAGTAGGGGGAGCCAGCGGGTTATACTCCCACAAAATGTGAGGTTAAAAATAATGTTACAATGTTTTTCGCCATCTCTAAGTGAGATTTCCTTGTAATCTTTTTTATCTTAAGATGGTTAAAAGTTCAAGATCTTTTTTTTTTTCTTTTTTTCTCAAATAATGAAATGCATCATTTATGCCAAAACTGAAAATTTTACATAGTTAATAAAATTAAGTTTTGTAAATTAGATGATATTAAAAAGGGTGCTGGAAAATTCCATTTTAAAAAAAAAATATAATTATCTCCATCAAAAGTTTCTCTATATACATTTGTAGTACCAGGGAATTAATTATGTTCATTTGAAATGAGTTCAAACTTAAAAGTAAAAATACAACATATTGACTTTCATTGTATTAAAATAAACAATTTCTGCATGTATTTACATGGAGAAAAACAATTCATGAATCAAAAAATAAATTTGAGTTCACTTTTACCCACATTTTATTTTGTCTTTTGATATAAAGTCTCAAAGTAGAATTTGATAAATTATTCAATCTCAAGATTTCATTTTATTGAATTTTCTAAATTGACACATACCGGTATACACATTTTATAGCAAATGTTACATATTTCTCTTCAGTAAATCAATAAAAGGGATTTTTTTTTATCTTTTTGATCATTAAATGGAAACAACATGGAAATTGTAAGTTTCCTATAGGTTTCTGTTGATTTTTCTAATTTGTGAGAATTCCTTTGCCGCATAATTTAGATTGTAATAGATATGAAAGTAAATTATTCTTTGGTTTTTTTTTCAGACTTATTGACTTATTGTTTAAAAATGATACTTTTTGATTTTGAAAGCTAAGAACGTAATTATACTTTCATACAATTTTACCATCAGGAAATTTCACCATGCTGTCAAATTATTTTGTATTAACACCATATTTGATATGAATACACAATATTAAGAAAACCATTCTTTTGAGAAAGTCCGCTCAACCCATCTGTAACTAGTAGCTAAACATGCTTGGTTCCCGATCCTTCTGCCTGCCTGTGAAATGGCCTGTACAAGATATTATATTTGTTTTAGGGTTTTGATCCTTGTTTCATTCTAAGTGGGTAGCCTTAGCATTGATCCTACTCTGAACATTTAATGTCGGTGTTGTTGATTAACATTGTAACATGGGAGGAGGGGAATGTTGAAGAGGGGAAATAGCGAAGACAGGATGGCAGGAGAAAGGAAACAAGGAAGAAGGGATGTGAGAAGAGAAAGAGATAAATATTTAAAGAAGACAGGGAAGGAAGGAAACAAGGAAGACGGAATGTGAAGAGAAATAAAGCAGAGGGAATGAAAGTGATAGACTGATATTTGAGATATAAAACATTTAAAGAAAGACAGGAGAGAAAAAGAAAACATGAAGAAGAAGGGATGGGAGGAAAGGAAAGAAAAGAAAATATACAAAGATAGACAGACAGGGGAGAAAGGCAACATCAAGTCGAAAGGATGGAGGAGAGGAAAGAAAGCAAATATATACAAAGATAGACAGACAGAAGAGAAAGGCAACATCAAGTGGAAAAGATGGGAGGAAAGGAAAGAAAGAAAATATACAAAGATAGACAGACAGGGGAGAAAGGTAACATCAAGTGGAAAGAATGGGAGGAAAGGAAAGAAAGAAAATATACAAAGATAGACAGACAGTGGAAAAAGGCAACATCAAGTGGAAAGGATGGAGGAGAGGAAAGAAAGCAAATATATACAAAGATAGACAGACAGAAGAGAAAGGCAACATCAAGTGGAAAAGATGGGAGGAAAGGAAAGAAAAAAAATATACAAAGATAGACAGACAGGGGAGAAAGCCAACATCAAGTGGAAAAGATGGAGGAGAGGAAAGAAAGAAAATATACAAAGATACACAGACAGGGTAGAAAGGCAACATCAAGTGGAAAAGATGGGAGGGAAGGAAAGAAAAAAAATATACAAAGATAGACAAACAGGGGAGAAAGCCAACATCAAGTGGAAAGGATGGGGGGAAAGGAAAGAAAGAAAATATACAAAGATCCACAGACAGGGGAGAAAGGCAACAACAAGTGGAAAGGATGGAGGAGAGGAAAGAAAGAAAATATATACAAAGATAGACAGACAGGGGAGAAAGGCAACATCAAGTGGAAAGGATGGAGGAGAAGAAAAAGGAAGTGTAGGGGGATGGGGGTATTTGAGATGATATGAAATAAGGAATAGGAAAATAGAGGAAAAGATATGAGGGTAAATAGGGGGGAGGGGGAGAAGTATAGTGCTGGCAATGGAGAGGGGAAATGAGGAAGTGTGAATGGAGGAGAAAAGAAACAAGGAAGAGGGATGGGAAGGACAAACAAGAAAGATAGCAGGAGAAATGAGATAAGGGGATCGAGAAGCTGGAAAACAAGGAATAGGGGAAGGAGAAGAAATAAGAACAAAGGGAGGGCTGCATTGAGTTATAAGGAGAAAGTAGAGTAAAAGAGAGAAGATGGGAGTAAGAAAATGGGAGAGCTAAGAAAGAGGGAACCAGTAAACAGAAAAATCAGTTTTCAGTGAATTAGTTTCATTTCAAATATCAGAATGGCTACCAATCCTAATTTTGAATATTAACATACTTCCATATATTAGTCTTTTAAAATAAATAATTGATTTATTTCAATTTGTTTGAAACAATATGATTGAATCAATAGTACATGGGGCCACCACAAACAAAACATTTGTGTTGTTAACATTTATGTGTTTTTGTTTACAAACATGGCAGACTACTGTCGGTGAAGTTGTGGCTGAAATAATAGGATGGGAGAAAAATAATCATGACAAAGAAATCTCCAACCCGAGGGATGATGCTCTGCCGTGAGTTAGACAACCAAAATAATCATCCCGAGGGCTGGAGATTTCTCTGTTAAACCCTCGAGTTAGGGGAAGATTCTATTAATCATATGGTACATTTTTGACATTTATTATAGCCTTGTTTCATTACAAAGTGAGGTATTTTTGTAGATCTACTGGACAATGTTTTCTGACACATTGGCTATAAACACTGCCCGTCAAGTCTTACTGCACAACAAATTGTGCATACAAATTATCCTCACAGGAGCAAGCAGTTAAACTAAATACACAACAGATGTGAAGGAGTTTGTTTACACTTCACTCAGAAGTTGATTTTTTGATGCAATTGTTCGGTGTTAACCCTGGTGTATTTTGCATATTTAATAGCTGATGATTACCTGTACTGGTAATTTAACTTCAATCAATTGGTGGAGAATTCACAACTTTGTCTATTACCTTTGTCTATAACTGTTACCTGTTACCCCTGCAATGAAGTTGGGGGGGGGGTTAACTGGAATCAGAATTCACAACTTTGACTATAACTGTTGCCTGTTACCTGTTACCCCTACAATGAGGTTGGGGGATGTATACCTAGAAACTTTCGCCTTTCTCCTGTAAATTCTGTATAAGCCCCAAGTTAATTTCACCCTCATTGCAGAAAAGGCGAAAGTCAAACTGTGATAAAAAGTTTCCCAGCAATAAGTACTTCTCCTGATTACCATACAGATTTAAATGAAACTTTGCAAACCTGATCAGTGTGCAAGGTTGTCATTAACCATGTATATTTTTTCCATTTACAGAGTTATTGCCCCTTTTACAAGTTACAAGTTGCAAGTCATTAACCATGTATTTTTTTCATTAACAGAGTTATTGCCCACTTTGAGTATTACATTCTTGTTCAGAAAACTAGTCCCACATAAGATTTTGTACAATTTCTTGTAAACATGGAAGATTTTAAATCACACAAAGCTGTACATGTACGTGTCTATCAAACCTACTGTTTCCATGATATTTGCAGGGAGGGACACACAGACATACTTAATTATGGGTAACGATACCGATACCCATATCATTTTTAAGCTGGGATTGATTTTCCTGTTGTAGTTTACGTTAGATGACAGAAGACAATAAATAATATAATTGTTGCATAATTTATTCTATCTTACAATTTCTACAATGTATTTTATATTTCAAATAAGCAGCATGACAACAAGAAATGAAATTGTCTAACAAACTGTCAAAACGTTTTCAATGTTGGAGAATTTCTTTCCTCATTTTCCAAATCTGAACAACGCATATTATAATTAATGATAATTGCCTTGTTATGCAGGAGAGAAGGGACGAGAGGAGCGCGTGCCACGGGACTCCCGAGAAGTGTCACCAGAAGGGGCCAGCATGAGCGCTGAGCCCACAGTAGTGAATGTGGAGGAGCTACAGCAGAAACTCACCGAGAGCTTCAGTAAAAAACTGGAGGAATGGGAGAGAATCAAGTACCGCAAAGACAGCGCAAGTCCCCCCCTGGATAACAAAGACGCAACAAAAGTGTCAAGTCAAATTCATAAGGATGACAGACTGGGCAGCAGAAAAGTTAAGGCTGATAAGGACCGCAGCAAGCTGGAACGCCGGCGTGAACGCGAACTCCAGCGTGTGGAACGTGAACAACAAAAGTTGGAGAGGGACCGGATTCGGATAGAGAAGGAACGCCTCAAAGCCCTGGAACGTGAGGCACGGATTGAGAAGATGAAAGGGCGTCTTAGCCAACCAGACCTGGAAGCCAAACTGAACTCTCCTATATATAGCCCCCTAGGAGAGTACAAAGTTACAACAGAGTTTGCACGTAAGTTGTACGAGTGGGAACAGAGGAGAGAGGGAGCATCGTCTGCTTCTCTAGAGCAGCAGCGCATCTGTGAGCTCCCAGGAGACAAGAGTAAAGGGGATAGTGAGGGGGAGGAACACAGATTGGCTAAAGGACAGAAGCCCCCTCCCCTCACACTACAGCCTTGTTTTGACTCCCCAGAGGAGGCCTCGCCCGGAGACAAGTCCTCCGAGGCAAGCTTTGGGGACGATACCTCACTGACGGTGGAAAGTATGACGGAGTCCAATCTCACAAGGTAAGTATGTCGTTCTGACAGGTGTGCACAAAGCTTTCCTTTCTAAATTATACCTCATTATCAACTAACTTTTCTCACTGATGTCTCATTATCATCTTATCTTTCTTAATTAAAGTAAAAGTAAACTCATCATTTTCAACTTAGAGCTCTTAAAAAACACATTTCCTCGTTTACATTCTTTAATTCTTATCTTAATTACATGCTGGTCATAATTGTTTCACTTTGTCCTCTTTATAGGATTTCTTTATAAAGCCGTTTTTATTGGAAGAAAAATATTAGCAGTGAAATAGTACCTTTTTAACTCATTCACCCCTGAAGACACATTTGAACTCTTCCAATTCAAGGGTTGGAATAGTCCATTATGAAATTTCAAGGGTGAATGAGTATATAATTATAATTCACATATAATTCTCATGAGATGAAATTCATTCAAAAACAATCATTCTTTAATTTCAATGTAATTTAGATGATTCATTATAATATTGAGCCTACAATTAATACATTATTATTTAAATTCATATTTTCCAAGATGCAGTTACAAACATCTGAAATATTTGTACAAGATTTTGCAATATTTTGTTATCTAGTGATAAATAATTGATGCAGTGTTTTGTTTGGGGTTGCATGCCTAACAAATACTTACATTATATATAAAAAAATAATAAGTTTTCATTCAATTATTTTTTTCTGCCAGTAATATTTCTGTAATAACAAATCAACCTATATCAGTATTAATGTGTTACTATTGGTAAGGATAGAAACTTGTAGATCCATCGGGTCAAATAACGACTGCGTTTTATATAGAACAACAGTTCAAGTAAGCTCCATCATCTACAAGATAATGAAAATGGTAAAAAAATGTTTTCAAAAGATATTTTTTCTTTAGATAACAATAAAATCTGTAGATAATAAAAGCAAGTGCTTCGACCGGACTGCTTATACGTCATTAGTGTTTGTAGTTTTGAAGTCTGGTTTTACACAGATAGGCTGGAATCTCGAGATATCAGACTTTTTTAACGGCCATTTTTGTGTTAAGAGTATTTTCATGTTTATTTTCATCTTCTGACCTGGGGATACCATAACAAGCAAAATAAAGTAGGTTACTACTGGAATGGTACAGTTTTATGGTACCTTGGAGATCTTAGTAAAATTTTCTTTCAGAAATAATCTTTTTTTTTTAAAAGCTTCCACTTCTTTTTAACCAATTGAAAAAGAATCTTTTGATATTTATCAGTAACAAAAAACAGAATGTGATAATGTCTACATGTTTCTTTATCTCTGTAAATTGTTATTTTCCCCCTTCAACATTTACATTCATGTTTTGCCTTCTGATTAGACCTACACACATGTCCTGATCTTGGTGGGGGTGTAGGGAGGGAGTGTTACCGTAATTATTCCCAGCAGCACCCATGCTGTGTCGTAGAATTTGATAGATGCATAGAACCCTGAAAGCACCCTAGTTGTATTTCAGTGTTTTGGGAATGCTGTGTAGCTCCACTCATTATATTACATTTAAAGTCTAAACTGAACCCTGTAAAATTTGGAAACCTGTTTTAACCAGCTCTTTAACTCATTAACCCCTGAAATTTCATAATGAACTATTCCAACCTTTGAATTGAAAGAGTTCAAATGTGTCTTCAGGGGTGAATGAGTTAACTACGCCACACAATTTACATTTCTATGTAATTTGTACATCTGCTATATCTATCAAAAACCTGTCTAATGTGACGGAAAACCCAGCCCTGGTGGTATATCGTCTCTTGCTTTCCATCTCCGTGTTTTGTCCAGTTCTACTAGGCTGATTGAACTGAAACTTGGTAGGAATGATCGACTCATGGTCGTGATAAAGTTTTTTTTTCTTTTTTCAGGCCGATCAAAAATCCAATATGGCTGCCATGGCCGCCATTTTGAAAAAAACCCCAAAAAAACCCTTAAAGTCAAGTTCTAATAGGCCGATTTAAGTGAAACTCGGTCTAGGAATGATCAACTCATGGTCCTGAAAAACTTAACATACCGTTATACTCAACTATTTTTTACTCAAATTGGTAGGGATGATTGACATCATTATCTCCACTTTATATTTCAACAACAAAAATAAATACTGTAGGACACAGGTGACCATTAATGCCCATGGGCCTCTTGTTGTGTGTAGTTACTGTTGCTGTTACAGTCAGACTTGTTTTCAGAGACCATCTTTGGGATGTTTATAAAGTGATTTGTTATGACACATATAAGTAAGATCTGAAATGGTGATATTTTCATAAATATTGAAATATAATGCAGTCAAAACTGTAGATAGCACCTTTGAAAAGTCTATAAAGTGTACAATTAACATGAAAGTAACTGCATTGGAGCATTTAAAAGTGGTCTCTTAACACAGGTGGTCAATTAATAACAGTGGTTTCTTGGTTACAGGTTAATGACTTTAGGAATTATCATGCGATTCAATATGACCACCACTAGAAAACAGTCACAAATATATTGGTATTTTTTTCACAAAATGTTTGTATTTTTTCAAATATATTAAAAAAAAACGTTTTTTAAATTTATGGTAACATAACATTAATTTTTAATGAAGCATAGTACAACAGGATCAGAAGCAAACTAAAACTATTTTTAGAGATACCCTGTCTTAGGAGAACGTGCATGGTCTCTTAATACAGCTGGTCATGTTGTGGTACCGGTAGCAGGGTATGGAGGAGCTCATTTTTTCCAAATATAAAGTAAATTGAATTTATTCCAGGTTTGACTTTAAATACATTGTTCCGTCATTTAAAATTTGTTTCCAGGGAATTCACTTTTGATTAATTGGGTAACAGGCCTCTTTCTTCTGTCTGATGGAAGAAACTTGATTGTTTGTAAACCACACCAGTGTAATATAGCATGAATCCTTTATCACTGTCTTTATGACTTCATAATTGATCCCAAAAAGTTGAAATGGCTGAGATAACCAGTGACTCGATCTTTTAACTCAATTTGTTCATATATTGTTTGTTTGTAATGTTATTCAGTTAGGAGATGCATGTGGCAGAACAGAAAAATATGTATTTTATGTCTACTTGCATTTCATCATAAAAGGGCTGTGTACTTCAGGGCAGGGTCTGACGTAGGAGAGATAATTTGTAGAATAGTGTTATGTCAAAACAAGTGGTGGTCATGGTGTTTGTTGGGCCAAACCAAACAAAATGTTGTGTTTCTGCTTAAGGGTGCTCAAAAATTTGAGGTAATTGCCAATACTTTTTAATTTGCAAACAAATATTTTACAAAGGTGATTTGGAGACAGTATCTGACCAAATTTAACAGTAAAAGTTCAAACCAAAGGAGGTTAAAAGTAGACATTAAATACTTTGAAAAATCTGCCATTCTGTTTGAATAACAGAAACTTTTATGTCAAGGTATTTTTTACAAAATATGAATTTAATATTTTTCTAAAAAAAATTACTGGCTGTGAAGGATTTTCCTTCTTTGCATGCATGACATTTTCACATGAAATGCTATTGAATACATATGTTTAACAATGACTTAATAGCCTGATGGTTCATTTAGGTATACATGACCATTTTACAGGAACTGCTGTGTAAAAATCTGGTTCATCAGCCAATGAATAAAATCAAATAAAGATTGATTCCATCAGCTAATTGCCATATTGTGGCTTTGATGGGAGTCATTCTCCTGTTCCACCGAACTTTAAATGTCATTACTTCAGCAGTTCTGATGAAACACAGCTTCAGGGCTTTGATTGGGCGCTGAAATCTGAAGACGGGTTTATTTCCTATATCAGTTGTAATGATAACTAAACTGATTTTTTAAAATTTGTTTTCTAATGTCTATCGAATGATTATACAAAATTGGAACAGTTCTTCTGAAATGATTTCACATTGTTTAAATCCTATGGCTGTTTGTAAACTTTATTAAGTAAAGTTGTAGACATTTTCTTTCTGTAGCATGCTCATACTAAGCCTCTACTGTTACTGCAATCTCTAAATTAACTGTGATCTCTATCGAAATAGCTATGGCCTGAGCTTACAGCAACATCTACTGAACTACTGATACTACCATCTCTGTTGTAGTGGCTGGTTACTATTCTTTCTACTCATTAGTTTAACTCATTCACCCTTGAAGTTTCATAATGAACTATTCCAACCTTTGAACTGGAAGAGTTCAAATGTGTCTTCAGGGATGAATGAGTTAATTAACCAGTAGAAGGTTGTTTTATTGGTAAAGCTAGTGTAGAAGATGGGTATTGTACAGGCCTGTTCAGCGTTAACCACAAACACTGAAATATGACTGGCTGTATCTATTCAGACTTGATAGTGTCTACCATATGCCATTCTGGTGTTAAAGATTCTGCAAAGTTGCATCATCAACCAAGATGACTGCACAACCTCCGATCAGGATTGACGGTGATAATTGTCTGGGTGAATGAGATGTTGACAGTATGGCCTTCATTAGCCGAAATTTGTTTTAAATTAAAGGATTCTCTATTGAAAAGCTCAGCAGATTGTGTTAAAAACTCTGATCATTTGTTTTTCATGAAAATGGTTATTAATTAGTTTCTGATCAGTTTCTGATCAGTTTCAGGTCCCTGAATGGCCTCATGGACTCGAATGATTAAGACATTTTTTCAAAATATGTATTTCTATGATCAGCAAATCAGAATTTTTACCCAATCCAAGATGGGCAGTGTACATTTGATTGGCTTAAATACTGTTAACTACTTGAGACATAAATGGTGTTTTAATTATACAAAGTTTGCGATGTTTTGCCATTTCATATTTGATAAAGATCTGATATTTTGCAAAATTTCAAGATATGATATACAGCGCAGTGCATATAATAGCTTACGAGAGGCCTAGAATTTGATGTATATTGTTGAAACGGAGAATACTGACAGTATACACATGAGAACAAACACTCTGACAATACCTTCAACAGCTGTAGGGGGAACTAACTGTGCTGGAAGCTTGCTGTACATAATTTTATTGAAAACCTGAAATTATGCCAAATTGTTGGTCTTCTCAAGGAGCTTTGGAGAATTCTTAATTCTGCAATTTCAAAAACCATCTTGAGAGTAAAAGATTTGTATGTCAGATAAGTGCCAAATAAATTGTGTAAATCTCTCGAAAATTTGTGTAAATCTTTCAATTTGTTCGCATGGAATTTTTATGAGGCTTATAAAACATGTCTAGAGTCTTCTCATCAATAAAGAATCCTTTTACTTTTGACAAGTTAACTCATTCACCCCTGAAATTTCATAATGAACTATTTCAACCTTTGAATTGGAAGAGTTCAAATGTGTCATCAGGGGTGAAAGAGTTAAGGCTACGCTGATAAGTGATTATTAACAATCTGTTATTTTGATTTCTAACAAAATTTTAAGTTAGATTTAACTGTTCAATCTGAATCCTAAAAGACCAAGGAACTACCTGAGGTTATAAGTCATTTTTACCTATGGTTTTCAGTGGTTTTCCTGTACTTAACTAAGATTATCTATAAGATTATCTATAAGGTTATCTATATGATTATCTGTATGTTTTTACTTGTAACTACATATGTTTCACTTGTATTTAACCTGAGATAGCCTTTGATTAACCTGTGATTACCTATGTTTTACTGGTGTTTAACAGAGGTTACCTCTAATTTACCTGTGGTTACCTGTGTTTTACCAAAGATTACCTGCAATTTTTATCTTTGTTTAACTTGAGATTACCTCTGATTTGCTCATGGTTACATGCTTTTTTTTACCTGAGATTACCTATGATTTACCTTTGGTTACCTGTGTTTAACTTGAGATTACCTATGGTACCTGTGTTTAACTTGAGATTACCTATGATTTACCTGTGCACAAATGTACGTGGTACCCTGTGTTTAACTTGACATAACCTTTTAATTTTACCCGTGTTTAACTGAGATAACCTCTGATTTACCTGTTTTGTTACCTGTGTTTAACTGAGATTACCTCTTATTTACCTTGGGTTACCTGTATTTTACAGCCTGGAGAAGGCTAACTGCCAGTTGATGGAGCGCCTCCATGAGAAGGAGATAGAATATGAGGGTCTACAGGAGGATGTCAAAGGGCTGGCAGAGAAACTGGACCAAGTCAAATTCCAACATTCCAAGGACATAGGTCAGTATGGTCAAGCTTTCTCTTTCTAGGAAAACAAACTTTGGTTATCGTCAAACCTGTATTATTATGGGACTACATTTCGGGGTTGGTGGGTCAGTGGGGTTAGAATGTGTTAGTGGCGTGGTGACGGGGAGTCAACCTGCAGTCATTCTTATCAACCCTCTGTAAGATGGCCAAGGTCATTATGGTCAAACCTGTGTTGGTGGTCAGTAATGGTCAGACATGTGTTAGTGGTCAGTAGTGGTCAGACCTGTGTTAGTGGTCAGTAGTAGTCAGACCTGTGTTAGTGGTCAGTAGTGGTCAGACCTGTGTTAGTGGTCAGTAGTAGTCAGACCTGTGTTAGTGGTCAGGAACTCTTCCAAATCAAAGGTTGGAATAGTTCATTTCGAAATTTTAGGAGTAAATGAGTAAATGAGTTAACATTAGTAGGATTCAGAAGTTATGTTGGTAAATGGGCATTACACAGATACCATTCTGAATTTCTCATCTATGTGTTAAGAGTACAGCAGCTGTCCCGAGGCAAAACAGGTGATGGAAAATTTAGGTGTAATTGTCTCTCAAGATTTCTTACCACACATAAACAGCAAAACCTGTCAGGAGGGCAAATTCTCACCTGGTTTTGTTGGAAATACCTTCAGAAAGAATCTCCGGTTGTTCGCTTCTTTAACATTTTTCGGTAGGACAAGAGAGACTTGGAATACAAGTAGCTCACCTCAAAATCCACCATTCCTACATGTACAGAGGCCTTTTAGTAGGTTAGAAAGATAGTGTAGGGGATGGATATGGAAATGTGATAGGTTGATAGGGCCACCCATGGCTCTACATTATACCCAAAACACTATCTATAGCTCATCCTACCAAAGGTCAGAATTCCTGAGGGTCATGGTATTTCTGCTTTCTTCTTTCCAGACCACCATTTACATTCTCTCCTGGAGTCTCATTTCTACCTGGATATTTACATTTGAAAGGTTATGAGACAATGAAACTTTTGGATACATAATCTTCAATGTCGCCCACAGGATCGTAACTCTTTCATGACCCTATTGCAAAGATGAGGTCAAGGTCATATTTAAAGGTGAAGACCAAAATCCGTTCTTCTTTCCTTTCTATTAATTTGTTTGTTTGTTTACACTCTTTATTTCTTTCCTTCTCTGCTTCCTTTATTTTTTTCCCCTTCGTTTCTATTTTTGCAATTTCTTGTTCCATTTTTCATCCTTTTTCCACCTTTTGTCTATTACATATTCTGGGTTATGCCCCATAATTTCCTTTTCCATGTTCCGTGTCTCAATACGGGGTCTAATACAGTCGTACAGTACATGCCCTTGTCCAGACTCTGTCTTTGAACTGCTCAAAATGCATCATTACTGGACAATGTGTCACTTTCTTGCCTTTAACACCCCTCCCCAACCCCCACAGATCAAGATCATGGAAAAGCATCAGATATCAAATTTTAGCCATATCTGTCTGAGCTATTAAACTTAAAAAACCCACCATACTTGGTATATATTAATTATATAGCGGTCAAATTGTGGCATGTCCGATGGTCAGTAAGGCTTGTCTAGATAACGTTTGGTGTGTGGGTTGCCCTAGTAGACGAGAAGAACCCTATTGATTTTAGGCATGGTCCACCAAAGGTGTAGTTAGTCCAAATAATAACTAAGAATGATTTACAATACAAAGTTCAAACTTGGTGTGTGGGTTGCCCTAGGGATTGCCTATTGAATTTAGCAACAGGCTGTTAGAGGTCAAGGTCACCGTTATTGCCTCTCTAAATGATAACTTGAAAACTACTTGTCATACAAATTTTAACTGAGTAGCCGTAGCAGTAGCAGACATAATCAACTGGTCTAATTGGTGTAACTGGTCTAATTGGTGTAACTGGTCTAATTGGTGTAACTTGTAATTGGAGGAATGTACAAAAACTGCATATGATATGTGGAGAATGGGTAGCACATCCGCATAGAATTATGGTAAAACTAATTGTACAGATTTGCTCACAAGTTTCCTGCCCTCCTTGAACTCAAATCCATTATGGATCAATTGCAAAAACCTGCCCTTACCTTTTTTTTTTTGGGGGGGGGGGGGGGGGGGGTATGCTGCCCCTGATGGCTATCTTATCGTAATATCTTCCTTGTTTCTCCTTTATTTTGCTCTTTTACTTTCTCAATGTGCTCTCCATTCTCCAACATTGATCACTCTATCCAATGTTTTACGAGTTCCTCAGACCCCATTTTCGCCTCAAAATTGCCTAAAATTGTTCTTTTTTCATTTCATCAGATTTTATTGACTTTCTATATGTCAATTGGATTGGACATCAGGCTAGGCCTATTTAAGTCCTTTCCAAACTTATTTACAAACATTACATATATTCTGTCATAACAATCCAATTAAACAGTGCAGGGGAGATAACTCCAATTTAGCTTGTGAAATGAACATCTTACAACTTTTGTTTAATCATTTTCTGTTTATGTTTTAGATATTAACAATTAAATAAATCATGTATATTTATTGACAACCCATCCTACATAAAATCCAAGGGATACAGGCCCAAAAGTCCCTGTGTATAAACACATTGGCCATCCACCCACTGGATATATAGGATAAGTTACCAAGAAATAGACATTTTGTAAAATTTCAGAATATGATATGGATTCATATAGGAAAATGTACTTATTATTATATATTATTGGAGTTGATTCTCTTAAAATGTATATAACAAAGCACTATAGAATATTCATGTAACTATGAAATAGTTAGAACAGGTTATAGAATAGTACACTCATAAATTCCATCCAGTCCAGCCGAATACCAGAGATGTTGTGAAGATAGATATACACCAGTATCAATACTTATTAGCAGAGTGATCATGACACTATAAATAATAGCATCACTTTCAATGTAAAGTTTTGCTGTGAGTGAGATTACATATCAAGCCTATTAGTTTGACAAATGTAGTCAGATATACTTTGTAAAATGGATATGTTAATATCAGCGCTGCATATTAAGCATCCCTTTAATAGAGTTTTTAGATTAAAATGATCATGATTACCAGTTATACCAAATTGAGAAATTTTGATTACTAATTGCATTCTAAAGTTGTTATAGAGTGGGCATTCAAATATAAAATGAAATGCATTTTCATTTTCATGTCCACATCTACATGCTGGTGTTTCATTCAGATGATCCATATATAAGTCACTATTGAGGTTGCTAGCATGATTTCTCAGCTAACAAATTAGGATATTGAATTTTCTTGGCCCATAGTATTTAAATGTGCTAGCAATTTCTTCAGTGTTGTTCATATTATCAGATTTGATGAAATTTTTAAATTGTTGAAGGGAAGTAGCATTTAAGGTTTCTGCAGATAGAAGGTTAAATTCTCTACACATTGAGGGAAAATAACTATTGAAATAATTCTCAGTTCTACAGAAAGGGGGATTGAAAATTGTTCTAAATTATTTGTAAGATGAAGAAGATACATATTTCAATAACAATTTGTTGAGTGTTATTACTGAAAGTATTGCAGTCCTTGCTCTAGAGCTGTGTTTCTCTGGCTACAATTAGCCGTTACAGATCCAAGCAATAGCTTATCTTTATAGTATTCATTAAATTGCCAACTATTCAGGTTTTCTATCATGGAATTCATGGCATTTCATGGTATAGCTGACGCTACAATGGAATGTGGATATTTGTGGTATTTTCCGTGAATCTATGATGCAATCTAAACTCCTTGGCTTATAAAATACTTTACTAAGAAGGTTGTTTGCTTTACAAGTACTCATCTGATCTGCTTTTGAACGTTTCCGTGCAGTTAAAGGGCTTTGGCGTCAATTAGGCACTACACAGACAGACAAAACAACAGGCCGTGCAGGAATGTACTGTACATGTACTGTAGCTGAGCCTTAGTACGTAGTTATTGTCTACCGGACCGAGCTCAGTCAGCCTAATCCGGCTTCACTCAAACATTTTCAACTGTCTGACCTTGTTCTCAATCTCAAAATACAGAGATCATTTAAAAATAAGTTGTGATACGATTGATATCCAAGATATGTGACAAGGATATATCTCCTTCTAGCATGGTACAAAATGTCTTTCTCATGTAGGGCTGTCACAATATATCGGAAAACAGGTATATCGCAATACACCGGTTAATGTATCGTACCACAATACAGAGAAAAAATTGCTGTATCACAATATTCTTTTAAAAGCTTATTTTTATTTATTTCATTCTGCTTGGTGTTTTAACTTTGCAAATTACTACAAATACCAACAGATATGCCAATAAGCATAAAACAGGCTTTTAATAGTGGTGGTAATTAATTAAAACTTTGTTATCGATGGTAGGTTTGACAAAAATCTTTAAATCTATGTGATCCATATTATATCTGATTAAAGTTTGATAATATTCTGACAGCAACTTATTATAAAATTGAGCACATCCTTCCTATGACAATTAATATATCAGGATATGTATTGCAATATATTCATTCTGTATTGCAATTCATTGTGATACACTCTTGCCATATTGTGACACCCCTACTCTCAAGTAAGACTGTATTGTGACTTTTTTTATTTGATTATAATGAGGTTTGGCCATATAGCATTCAAACTGAAAATAAGTAGTGATCAGACTTAGATTCAAAATATATACTTGCCATCACATAAAAATTATGAAAGCAAAATTACTGACTCATATTTGAAGATGGTTTATAAAAAATTAAGTTTGAGAAATGAAAGTTGAGTTGATATGTTACAAAGTTGAGGCTGTATTTTATGATTTTCCGAGGCAGCTGTAAGCTTCAAGTAAAAGAAACAGCAATGTCTGTTCTCTACAATGATAGGTAAAGCTGGTTTTGCCTCACTCTCCGACGTTTTGCCTCACTCTCCGTCGAACATCAAGCTTGTTACGACCAAAGCATCACAATGTTTTGTAAGGTGGATGGGTGGAGTACATCTTTGTTACAGTGTCGGCACTCTGATGCGCACCAAGATACAAACAG